ATTTACCGTGGGCCGTTGCATAAGCTTTCGCGAGCAAATTGATCGCACGTGCTCTGCATTGGCATAGCCAATATGCATATAAACCTGTTGTGGCTTTGCAGCTTCACTTGAAAAATGTAGCACTGTTTCTCACTGCCGGATGCTTGCTGCAAATTACATACAGAATTTGAGCAGAGTGTGCATGAAAAATCGTCGAAGGAAGAGGATGATGTTGTAAATGTGCAGCGAAAAATTCAACAGCCTTCGGCTAAGTTCTTGGATGAAGTGTGTGTGGCAGCATGAAGATTAGGCATGGAAACAATTGGCACATTTTTTTTTTCACCTAAGCGTTCCTTTTGCAATGGGGTAGCTGCCTTCGCTAATATATATGCATTTCATCAGGAGTGGCTGAAATTTTTTCCTGGCCTTTCCAGAAAACATACCGGTCCAAGCGGCGTCTGTCTAAAAAAACAACGCCAGATATGAATGCTTCTGAAAACGGCTGAATGAAACATGCGACGATTTCGTAGTTTTAGTCACTGCGAAACAAACAAGTTGGATTTATTTATCTTTCCGGAGGTGACGTGGATTCGGAAATAAGTTTTGATATAAAAGAATTTCATCTGTATTGATGACCATATTTTCTATTGTGTACTGCATCAGTTCGTCGGCATCATGGTTGTCCACAACAGTGCGTCATCCCGACGGTTGGTTATGTTGCAAACAAATAGAGAGAAAAAAAACTGAAAATTGCACGTTGTGTCGTTGTGGAGAGGTAAAATCTGTCAGGAAATTTCCCCAAATTCCTCAGCACAGATCAGCTGAAGCAGGCTTCTGCAGCCGGCGACGAATGGTGCCGGAACAACATTCCAGCAACATCGACATTCCCTTAGTGCTCCCTTTTAAGGGGAGCCCTATAAGGTACACTGAGTACCGCGCTAAACTTGAGTCACGCAGAATGTTCAAACAGCGACAGTTGAAACAAAAAAACTGAAAAAAAAAAAATATAGCAGCAGCTTAAAGTTGCAGCGGGATCCATTCTTGGGAATAAGCCAAACGACGCTCTGCATCCCCGTCCTCCTCCCTCAGTCAGCACACCCTCCTTCAAAGACGAATGACATTTTGTTTCCAGCTACGCGCAAACCAATCCCAGAGAAGTCCATATATAGACACGCGTCTAAGATCGAAACGACTTTAAACACGGGTGGATGCGTGGGGAGAGGGAAAGGCACCCGCGGTTCGCGCTTGGGATCCTCTCCGTTCCTCGCGACTAACTTCGTTCGGCTTCCGAGAGCGCTCGCCCTAAACGCTCCTGCGGAATTCCTCTCGCGCCCCTTTTCTCTCTCTCGCTTTCCTCCTTTTCTCGAATCGTATACACCGGTACACCCGCTGTACAACTCGTATACTTTGCTTACGTGTATGTGCTTTCCCTTTTTATCACGCGTGTCTCTCTATAGCTTCGCACGGACCCTATACAGTTCCACCAGAGGACGCGTCAGTCCAGTCGAGCGTGTGCAGGACAGTATATAGACGTATACGGGCGGGTGAGCGAGCTGTAGCAATGCAGGACCTCGAAGTCTGCTTGTATTGGCACAGCTTTCGCAAATTTTCCGCACGCATCCATCCTTCTTTCCATTTCTTGTTTTCTCTTTCATTCGCGCAATTTTATTAATAGATTTCGCCTCTCACTGTGCCAGAAACTTTATACCGCGTGCTCTATCTTTTCTTCTTTTATTTTTTTTTTGTTTTATCCGTGACCAGCCGGGAGACACTTTAGGGCAGGGAGAAGTATTGCATCTAGATTGCTCGAATACGTTTTCAATCAATGTCGACCTTCCTGCCCACCGCGGGGACTGCAGCGGGTCCCCTGACTTTTCTGTGTGAAACAAGACAGTTTCTTTTCCTGTTCTTTTTGTTTCTTTTTCTCCATGTAGCTATAGATATTCGAAAGTATTTCAAGGAGAAAGAGACAGCTAACGCGAAAGAGGAATGCTGTTTTCTAAAACTATCAATCTCGGTTAACGATGAAAAAGGAAAATTTATATGCGTTATAAAGCCGTTTTAGCAGGCCAGACAAAGCGACCAGGCGCACGCACGAAAACCTTTGTTCTGTATTTTTTTTGTAATTCTTCTTTCCCCTCCGTAATCTTCTTAGAATAGAGGCTAGCCCTGTAGCGCCCGAGCCCAACCCATGGCTGGTTCGCGGTACCCTGTCAGTCGATTGGATACCTAAAAGAAAGAAAGAAAGAAAGAATGAGAGAGAGAGAGAGCGCACGAGGGAAGATTTCAATCAAGTTGCGACGGGTGGTCGTACGCAGTCTTGTGTCCCTCCAAGACCGTTCAATTTTTATTGGAACGCATATGCTCAACACCCGAACGATCCGCCGAGGTCGGAGGGGCTAAATCTTCTACGCACAAGAAAGGGGAGAGGGTGATCCCCGGGGCCCCGTTATTAAAAGACTTCTTCATCGACGATCTCCGAGGGCAGCCGTATACATAAGAAGCGGTTGCATTGTCAGAAGCGTGAGACGCCGTGGCTGTGGCTAGAACGCCGCAGATCATTGAGAAATGCTCGGTGTGAGGGGGTGCAAGAGCTGCAGAGTGCGGTGCGAAATGGAAAGCGTCGGGTACTGACTGATTGGACCCTGTGGAACAATTTTAACGAGCTGCGTGCTTAGCGGGGTACGAGGAAACTGGATCCCCGACCCAGGTTTTGGCAACGGCGGAGCTCTTTTTAATTCGGCGCTGCTTGTGAATTAGGAGGTGTCCGTTCCCGACGCGTCGATCAAGTCGCCCACACCGTGGAACGGGGATGAGAGTTTTTAAAAGAGCGTTTCGGGGTGCGACATCGATCAGGTCTGCGATTTGTCTATGCACGGATCGTCGCTTGACGCGCGATTGTAATTTCGCGACCCTCGTCGCGGGACGAGCGGAATGATTGTTCGGATTTCATTTCTGACTTCGCAGCACGTTATTTGGTTTAATATGGGCTAGCGCTTATTTTCTTGTAAGTTATTTACTGTCATTTATTACAGGAGAGCCATCCTCAGCTTTAGGCGCTCTTCTATTTGACTCCTAATTGATGGCGGTACCATGGCTGCTGACCCGCAGGTCGCGGGTTCAAATCCCGGCTGCGGCGGCTGCATTTCCGATGGAGGCGGAAATGTCGAGGCCCGTGTGCTCAGATTTGGGTGCACGTTAAAGAACCCCAGGTGGTCAAATTTTCCGGAGCCCTCCACTACGACGTCTCTCATAATCATATGGTGGTTTTGGGACGTTAAACCCCACAAATCAATCAATCAATCAATTGATGGCGGTACCATTTCGCAATGACACCGCCATCGTTATTTCTTTCAATTTGAAGCATTTTTAGTTTATCTGGTATACCCTCATATGATCTCTAATAATTTACCATTTTTTTTCTTGAACACGCTCCAGGAAACATGCTCCAGCATTGAAGTGTTTGGGATTCGCCTTAGAGCGGTGACCTCATAAACAGCGAGTGTTCGAAATTAGAAAGATGCTCTAGCATCTCTCTGTCGAAGGGCATGATATCAACTTTCAGTGGCTTCTGAGTCAGTGCGGCATGCTGGTCAATGAACAAGCCAACGCAGCCCCTCAATCTGCAGACGGAGACGGTGTACCATAATCCATCCCATTCTGAAAGACTGATTCTGCCATGAAAATAGGGCAGATTGCTAACGAAGACGTAAAAATACTATGGAATACACAATGTTTACGGTGCACGCTATACTGCATGGCTGGACCAGTCTCGCTGTCTTCGGCTTCTCTACGAACCTTGTCTCGACTCGAGACAGCGGTGCTTTGCCGACTGTAGCTTGGTGTTGCTTTCACCATTTTTTTTTTGCTTTCTGAATCGGCACGTAAGACAGTACTGCTTGCGACCATTGCGCCAGCGATGAAACTATAGGGCGCGTTTTTGTCCCTGGCCTCGCTACAGCGCGCAGACATTGTGAACCCGCCTTGACGACAGACCCTTCTCAGAACAGTCAGTGCTCGAATACCGACACGATGTGTATTCGCACAAAAAATCACTCAAGGCCTCATTGAACTTTTTTGCGTGGTATTGGCCTATTGAATAGGCTATAGCATCCCCGCTTGTGTTTATCTTTTCATTCGTCTTCTTTTCTATTTGCTTTCCTTCTTATATTTCGTGCCCATTTGCCCATCCCCCTTAGTGCGGGGTAGCAAACGAAACGCTACAGTTCTGATTGACCTCCATGCCTTTCTCTCAATTTACTATTTCTCGCTCTACAATTTTTAGTTGACCGTAATTTATGCCGGCTACCCCTCTTGACTTGTATGCATGAAAACCAAACAAATGACAAGAATGAATTACAGTATAGAATGGCTTGCGAATTCAGTATGAACGAAGCAACGCGACAAACAAATAAAACTTCAATTTTCACAAGCGTGACGTGCTCACTGCCCCTACATATATCAAAAGAGAGCAAGACTGGAAAAAAAAAAGTTTTTAACAGGAAAATGTTCATCAATGTTTTTATTGTGATAACATATATTTTATTTATTTCACTCTTTACCAGTTTTTTTATAGTTTATTGCAAACTACAAGGTACAACCTGCCCCTGAATTCGCACATCTACTTTATACAATAATTTTCCGTTATGAATTAATTATGAAAATATGTATGTTTACCAACCGCCAGCTCCTCCCCGCGGGGCGTGATGGTGTATTCGCATAGGCTGAGCAGCCTCTCTTCTGCGTGGCTTCGTTTATATATTGCAGCCTATGCCTGTTTCGTTTTTTTTTCTATACTATTGCGCGGAATAAAAGGGTACCCGATATAGGGCTCAGGTTGTGTTCGTAAGTATATAGTAATAAAGCATAAGCTTTCAGTCTTTGAAGTTTAAGGTGTGCCGGGATGAAATATTCATCAGATGTATTTTCATGGACTACTCGCCTTGGATGTTTAATACACTGCCTCCCCCAATGTTGAGTGCCTATTGCGTGCCTTTAATTTATGCCTACTTTGCCTGCAGATGGCGCATCCTAACAAACTATAGTTAAAGCTGTCCTGGAAGGACTGGACTCAGCTGTGAACATCAGCATCACTATGTGAGTATTGAATCGTACGTGCATACAGATTTGTGTGTGTGGAGGGGGGAGGGGGTGCTTTCTAGAGAGATAATGTGGTGTATAGAAAGAACATTAAGCTTAGTATTCCACATTTCTAGTAAATTTATAGACGGGTGCTGCTATGTGAGTATATATGTGTAGTGCGCAACCCTTGATATAATGTGTGTTTCATTCAGCATCTAGTACAGCTTCGAAGTTATTTGACGTCACCTGCGTGGCTCAAGTTCGAGATATTGCCGACCAAAGCCTTGTTTGCCGACAATGTCTTGCAAACAGTGTCTGACGGTGCACTTGTACCACGCAATGGGATGCTCGTACCTCTACGCTCTTACCTTGCATTATTAGATTGATAAGTTACTACATAGAAGCCTAGTTGTGTCACAATTACAATTGATTGACATCACATGTTACCTTAGCGACGCCTTGGTTTTTTTTTTTAAACTTCGTGGCTCATTTTCTCAAAATAGGCTGTAATTTATGGGGTCTAGTAAAAGAAAATAGAATTTGACGGATTGTTTTGTTATTCGAACCAACCTAATATTAGTCTAACGCAATGAAATTACATTCTACGTTGATGCGAACTATGCTTGGCTTCATCTTGAGGGCAACGCTCAAACAATTCGAAGACCGAGAATGAGACAGAACGCATATACTAGACAGAGAGGCCCCAATATTGATTGGAAGTGATTTCGAAATTGATCGAAAAAAGCTGAAATTGATATCGCGGCTTGGCTCTTCCCTTTCGGCGTCGTGAAAGTGCACACGCATTCCTCCCCCCCGTGGCACGTCCTCATTTACGCAGCGCTGTTTCTTTTTTTCGCATACTTTATCTCGCGTCAGGAGATCTCGCTCGGCACCCGTCCGCCTGTGTGCGCCCAAATCCCCTCGACGCGGCCGACCGAGCTCGCTGCATGCCTGAAGACGGCACAGCGCAAGCGTAGAGGGGGTGCAGCGCGCGAGTGCCATGCTTAATCCCGCGTTTTCTCGCCGGAGAAGAGATCCGACGTTTGTTTCCAAACTCGGTTTCGATAGTGCGGAGGAAAAAAAGATCGAGGACGAATATAAAGGATAGAGGAATACGGCTTTGGAAAAAATCAAGGAAAAAAAAAAGGCGGCTCGCGAGGGTCTGGAGCTTCGAAGAGGGGATCGAACCTATATATCTACCATCTCACGGCGGCTGCCGCTCGGCTGCCAGTGGCCTTGCAAAAGAGAAAATAAGTTTTGCGCCCGCTGTTGAAGAAGAAATAGCGGTCGTAGTATACGCAGTATACCGATGGAAGTGAAAGAAAAAAAAGATAGCGACACGCTAGACGAGGCCACGGCTTGCAACAGCAGCAGAAGCATGGCGGACACCGTAGGCAGAAGTAAGAATTGGATTCCTCCCGGCAGACGCTTGTATTTTTTTTTCTCCTTTTGTTCGCTGTTCTTCGCGCTGTTGGGCTTACACGCACACTTCTGTGCTCCCCCCTCTTCTAGATCTCCCACGAGGCGCCTATCCCGACGGATTTGGGCGCGCAATTGATTACAAGGAGGCCCTATGAAGAATACAGGGGTCCAAGGGGACGGCCCCGGGCGCGCCTCTAATCCAGGCCTAGGCACTTGTAAATCCGGCCCAGACAGGCCGCAATGGATGGCGCTGTCCCGCGCGAGGAGCGTTCCGATAGCCGCCCGTCGGAGAAACCCCGGGCCGGAATTGTTAATGGGTTAATGGATGGCCGCCGACGGAGCCACTGCAGCCGCGGCCCCAGCTGCAACCAACGCCCGCGCCAAGACCGCCTCCCCCGACTGAGTACAGCGCGTGTGTGCTGTACCCGAGCACTGCACGATGATCGGGCACTCGTTTGGCGCCCTTTACCGGGCCTGCGTGAATATTTAGATCGCCCACTCGAATGACGTGCTCGCCGAGCATCGTTTGGCGTGATATGCTTGCACGCTGTGTTTCGTCTTACTTTCAACTTCCATTCAAGCTTTCTGAAAGGGCAGGCAGGCGTTGTCCCCCCCCCCCCCCCCCCCTGGTTGGCAGGAAGTTGTTAGGCTGCTCCTCCCTCCCTAATTTCTCTTTGTCGTTTGCAGATTTCTTTGTTTTCGTATGATAAAACAGTAATTACTGTTACGATGCGCTGAAATTTCATCTTAACGAGGGCAAAATGCTATTGCACTGTACTTGATTCGTATAGTTTAACAGGGTGGACAACGGAATTTAATAGCAGTTTCCGTAAGGGCAGGAACCAATGTCGTGGCGTTTCACGGTTTACCAATAAAACCACGGTTTCCAATTCACGGTTTACCAATATTCCAAGATTCACGGTTCACCAAGATTCACGGTTTACCAATAAAACCTTCTGAAGCTTCGCCCCACTCATCATCATTCACTTCGTGGACATGCTGTGATTTTTAAGGGCAAAACTCTTTATAGCGGCACCCGTTCGTCTCCCGTAGTATGTAACTAGTATAACATTTTGACCTCCAAGGTGGTGCCAGTGAGAGACTTCTTCTGTGCGTTGTTTAACAATAAAAAATAGTGCTCAATGTACATGCCAATGGCTGCTAATGGGGAATGAGAGACTGGAGCATTCAGCTTTTAGTCAACGCGCACGCTGCGATCCCTATTAGCAGCCATTGGCATGTACATTGAGCACTATCGGACAAGAAAGGGTTGCTACATTATACTCGCTGGGTTTAACCTCCTTAGCTTTAGAAAGGTTTAGCGAACGTTGAGCCGCAGTGCCATGAATACAATGAACTTGTATATACCATGAATGAACTCGAGGTGGTTAAAAATGGGAAGTAGATACGAAGCGCAAGCCGTAAGAAAGTAAAAGCCGAATTCTCCGCCTTTCATTTCCCATTAGCAGCCATTGGCATGTACATTGAGCACTATCTGACTGAAAAAGTTTGCTACGTTATACTCGATGGGCGTAACCTCCTTGGTTTTAGAAAGGTTTAGCGAGCATTGGGCAGCAGTGCCATGAATACAGTGAACTAGTATATACCGTGAACTCAAGGTGGTTGAAGGTGGGAAGTAGACCCGAAGCGCAAGCCGTAAGAAAGTGTGCGTGTGCCACCTCCCGTTTAGTCCTTGAAATGTCCGCTGGATGGCGGTGCTTCTATATGGGGAATATATGATGAAAAGATGCGAGATGGTGGTATTTGGAGTGTAGATGGACGAACGGACACATAGACAGATGCATGGATGGACGCATGAACGGACGCAGGGGTGGCTGCATGGACGAACGCAGGGACGGACGCACGAACGGACGCACGCACGGACGGGCTGATGGACGCATGTACGGTCACACTGACGGACGCATGAACGGACCGAAGCAAGAACGAATGAACGGACGAATTCTTCGCCCCACTTTCCATCATTCACTCCGTGGATATGCTGCCTTTTTTTTGTTCATGGATTGGCCATTTCAAAGTCACCCAAACAGGTAAACGTTATTCAGTCTCTGTGAGGTAGATTGGATGCACCACACACTTGAACTTTTTAGTACTCAGCAACTGTTCGCACCGTACATGACCTGCAAACTTCTCATGTAATTAAATTCCGAGAAGGAAAGTTTGTTAGTGAGTACAGGGAGACTTATTGTGGTCGCAGAACGTTCACAGCACTATACATATAATTGCAGAGCGAGTGTACCCGAAGCAGCAGAGTCGTCACGCCGCTTTCAACTGCCTGCGATGTATGTCACCCTTTATATACTGGAGCTTTGGTTTGGTGTGCTTACGAATGTATCCCGATCGTTCAGACGTATTTACTTCGACGCGTAGCCAGTTCAGCATCGCTTGTACGAAGCACAAGAGTTGTTTTTCAAGACTCCATTCCCACGAACCAGACTTGTGCGTATGGTCCTTCGTGCTTATTGTGGAAATCGTACTTCTGCTGGCGACGGAAAATATACAGGATGTGCGAGCACCGACAGAGAGGATCCCCTTACGAGATAATGTCACCAACCGTCATGACCCATCTGAAGAGATACCGATGCGTCATCCTGAGTGGCTTTGCACGCCATGAAATGGACACGCAGGCCAACACATGCAACACACGCAGGACACTCAGACAAACACTTGCTATCTAGTCTTCTTTGTGCAACGTGCCGATTGAACCTGGAAGGCTGAGAAGGCCTGTCATCAACAACATTCTGATCCCTGAGTCATACAGAGACGGACTTACTTCTAAGTAACACTGTGTACTAGAGATAATATATTCTGCAACATTTGGAGACGCATCTTTCTTGCCTCTGCCGAGACAGCGGGCAGCTCAAGGGTATCGACGTCATGTGTCAAACGTCACAGGCGAACCAAAAGGGACAGCGCTCGCTTTTAAATGCGCGCTCGTTGGCCTGTGCTTTCTCTCTGCCAGTTGGCTGAATAGGAAAGCTTTTAGGGAGGTGACCTCTGCCATTCGACAGCGGGGTCTCATTCAAAGGAAGAGATTAACGTATCCCGACTGCACTGCCACGTTGAAATAAAGTTTTTCTCCTCCTCCAGCTTTTCCTATCCTCCATCTTTTTTCTCCTTTTTTTATTATCCGTCGCTTTCATTTCTTAGCTGCCGACTCCGCCTCGCTACGGAAGGCGCGGGTTCAGAAGGCCCGCGGAAGGCTCATAAATTGTGGTGGCGCTAAATCTTTCCTTTGCTATCACTCTTTGGTGAGCGCCGAGGCTGTAAATTCTAGTCGCGTCCTGTTAGCCAGACTGTGTTATACGTACAGACGGCGCTGCTGCGAGCTCATATAAAAGCTGGACGAAAAAGAAGGACGTTTCTTTCGTAATGGCGGATTTCAATCTGAAGTCTGAAGGACGCAGAGTGTTTCAAAGGAGAGGGAGGAGGATGGGGAAGTGCGGGAAAGGATGAGCTTTCGAGCGGCCCCATTAAGTATCTCGAAACATAACTATCGCTTACTATATTTATGCAGTGCTGTTCTACGCAAACGGTGCCGGCGGGTCTGCGCTTCATTCCGCTGGCACGCACGC